GTGCAGCGGCCGCTTTCCCCTGCTGCTTTCCCGCTGCCGCTGCCGCCGCCAGTAAGGCCAGCGCCACATGAGCGCGCATTCTCGGCCTGGAGTCCAGGCGGCGAGCAGTCGCTCAAGGTTGGCTGCCAGGAGTGGTTCGAGGCGGTGGAGGCCTACCTGATCGACCTCCACGAGATCGCGCCGCCCAGCCGCTGGAAAGGGCGCGCAGGCGGGCTGCGCACGCAGAGGGTCAAGATGGAGGTGGCCTGGAAGCAGGACCTCAAGAGGAATGTCGGCGCCGCTTGCAGACGCTGGATGTCGTTCGCGGCGGCGTGCTCCAGCTGGCGCGCGCTGCAGGAGGCGGCGCCAGGAGGTCGCTGCACGGCGCCGCTGCGCAAGCAGCGCCAGGTGCTGCAGGCGTTCGAGCTCGAGTGGCCAGAGGAAGGCCCGCTCGCAGGGCTGTCGGTCGCCCGCGTGGTGGGCCTGCTCAGCTCCTCATCGTGCAAGCTGACGGTGCAGTTCGTCCAGGAGGAGGCGAAGCGGCGCTGGATGCAGGACAAGCAGCCGAGGGCCGCTGAGTGGCGCGCCTGGGCCCAGGCTGCGGCCACCGAGAGGGGTGGCTCGGCGGCCTACCGCTTCATCAAGCAGGTCACGGTGCTGCCCACGGTGGTGCACGCGGGCGCAGACGGTGACGACGGCCCGCGCATGCCTGTAGCGGGCGAGGCCGCAGTGGCTGCGCTGCTGAAGGCGTGGCAGCCTCTCTGGATCCAGCCGTCGCGCGCTGGCGAGGTGGCGCCCGAGGACTGGGACATCCAGGAGTCGGTGCTGCCGCCGCTGGAGCTCGGAGACCTGGAGCGGGTCCTGGGCACCTACCGCGAGGGGTGCGGCCTTGGATGGGATATGCTCCACCCGAAGCAGCTGCTGCGCCTCCCGCGGTCCTACGGGCAGCGCTTCCTGGAGCTCCTCATGGCCTGGGAGCGGGGGCCCACGCGGGAGGCGCTGTGGCAGCTGATCGTGGTGTTCATCCCCAAGGCTACTGGAGGCCAGCGACCGATCGGCCTCACGGCCATCTGGTTGAGGGTCTGGAGCAGGATGCGGCAGCCGCTGGTGGCCCGCTGGGAGGCCTCGCTGCAGAACCCTGCCTTCTGGGGCACGTCGGAGTGCCCGTGCGAGCGCGCGGGGGTGGTGCACAACCTCCTGGCGGCCTTTGCTCGCAGCAGGGGCCTCTCGGCGGCCACAGGAGTCACCGACCTGGCGAAGTTCTACGAGCACGTCAACCATGAGGACCTGCGCGTGCAGGCGGTCGCCACAGGCTTCCCGCTCGCGCTGCTGCGGTGCTACTGCGTGTCGTACTGCACGCAGCGTCGCGTGTCGTGGTGCGGCTCGGTCTCCAAGCCGTTCGAGGCGAACGGCACCATTGTGGCGGGATGCAGCGGGGCGGTCGGGCTGGCCAAGCTGCTGGTGCACACCCTCCCCGTGAAGATTGTGCGCGGGAACCCTGTGGTTCGCCTGCAGAACGTCGTTGACGACGTGTTGCTGCAGGCGGTCGGCGGCGAGGCTCAGGTGGTGCAGCAGCTACCCAGGGCCATGGCTGCCCTCATAGAGGGCCTGGTCGCAAAGGGGCTGGTCATCTCGGAGGCGAAGACGGGCTACCTGGTGAACAGCGGGGACCTGGGCGACGCGCTGGACGGCTGCTGGGCGCAAGGGCCGCTGGCCCGCTGGACAGGCGCCCGCTGCCTCGGCGGCGACGCCACCGACGGGCGCTGGAGGCGCGCGGGCGAGCAGGACGCGCGGCTCGGCCGCGCGGCGGCGGTCAGTGCGCGGGCGCGCCTGCTGCGCAGCGCCGGTGCGCAGGTGGGCCACATCCAGAGGTGGGGCCCCACAGCCACCGCCGTCTGGGGCTCCGCGGTGACGGGCCTCGCCCGCGGGAAGCTGCACGGCCTGCGGGTCGCCGCCATGCGCGCGGAGGGCAGGCTGCCCATGGGCGCCAGCGTTGGCCTGCGGCTGCGGGCGCAGCACGGCGCCGCCTACCGCGACCCCTTCGTGGTGCACGCGGTAGAGGTGGCGCGCTCCTGGGGCATGACGCTGGAGACGGGCCTGCCCAGCGCCGCGGTGATGCAGGAGCGCCGGCTCGGGGCGCAAGGCCTGCTGGACCTTCGCCGCCCCTGGGGGCAGCGCCGCGACCCTGCACAGGCGCGTGCGCTGGCGCTGAGGCGGGTCGGCTGCGAGATGGTGGCCTACAATGCCGTCATCGATTGGCAGGCGCGGGTCTCCTCGTTGGAGTTCTACTCGCCTGGCATGCTGGTACAGGTGGTGCGCACGTCGGCGTTGCTGGCCTCGGATGTGCTCGCGCTGCAGCGGCTGCGCGGGCCTGGCGCCTGGGCACGGCCTGTGAACTGGAAGGGGCTGGAGCGCCTCCTTCACGCGAGCCCCCGCCCCGAGGAGCAGGCCTCCGCCGAGGCCGCACATGGCGCAGGCTGCCAGGGGCCCGCGCCGCCGCCGCCGCTTCGGCAGGCCCGCCACAGGCGCGCGCTCGCGGCGGTCCTTGGCGGCCCCCACTGGCCGCAGGAGCGCCTCTGGAAGGAGGGCAAGGCGCGCGACGGCCTCTGCCGCCTCAGTAGAGGTCGCGGCACGCTGCGGCACAGGGCCTTCGAGCGCGACGCCTGGCAGCCGCTGCGGCGGGACGCGCGCTCGCCCGAGCTGCTGGAGGGGGCACGGCTGGTGGCGCAGCGCGGGGACGCCGCGGCGGAGCTCTTCGCGCGTGCGCTCTGCCCCGACCCTGCCCCAGCCTTCCCCGCGGCGGCAGACGCTGCGCTCGCGGCCCCGCGCTGGTTCGGCGTGCCGCCTGGCTCGAAGTTCGCGGGCAGGGTCTACGTGGACGGCAGCGCCAGGTTCCCTGCGCTGCGAGGGGCCCGCCGCGCTGGCTGGGCGGTGGTGCAGATCGGCCTCAGCGGGGAGGTCATCGGCGGGATGCACGGCATCGCCCCGTGGATGCACGGACCCGAGCAGGAGGCCGGGGACGGCGAGGACTACGCGTTCCACATGCTGGCCCAGTTCTGTCAGCCGTCGGACGACGGCTCGGGCCTCGAGGTCCTCGGCGACTGTGCGGGCACGGTCGGCCTGGCGCTCTCGGGGGGCAAGGCCCTCGCGCCGCTGCAGGCGCGCCGCCACCTGTGGCAGGAGCGGTGGGCAGGGCCTGCCCCGTCGGCCACAGTGCGCAAGGTCAAGGCGCACAAGGCGCTCGCCGCGGCGTCCACCTGGGAGGAGGAGCTCATGATCAAAGGCAACAGGGCAGCTGACCTGTGGGCCAAGAGAGGCGCCGCCCTGTGGCCGATCGACGAGGAGCTGGTCTGGTTCCTCCAGGCGTGCGCCTGGCGTGCGGAGGAGCTAGGGCGCTGGGTCGGCGAGCTGGCCGCCACCATGGTGGACCACGAGAAGCTGGACTCCGACGGGGTGGTGGGCACGGCCGACCTCGTCTACGATATCCCGCAGGCGGCGCTGGACGCGGCGGAGCTGGCCGACGCGGAGGTGGCTGCGTCGGCGCTCGAGGCCGAGCTCGAGCACGGCCAGGCGCCTGCTGCTGCTGCTGGGGCCGCTGCGGGCGCGGAGCTCGGCCAGCCGCCCGCCGCCGCCGCAGGGGCCGCCGCCGTAGAGCTCGTGGATGCAGCTGTGGCTGCCCCCGAGCTGCAGGCAGCTGTGGCTGGAGCAGGCGTGACGCGGGAGGTGCGCGGGCACTGCATCGTCGTCTCGCGCCTCGAGAATGGTGACGGGGCCATGGCCTGGTGCCTGAAGTGCGGCTGCCGCTTCTGGAAGAGGTCCCCTCCTGCAGGGACTGGCCTGCTGGGCAGCTGCAAGGGGCGGCCTGCCCCTGGCGAGCGGGCGGCGGAGGCGAGGCGGCTCCTGATGCGCCTGCAGGAGCCGAAGAGCAAGGCTCGGCTCCTGGCCCCGCAGGCGCCCACGGAGGAGGAGCAGGCGCGGCTCGCGGCGGTGCTCCACGGCGGCGCTGGCGCGGCGGGCGGCGCTGGGGCCCCCGCTGGGGCTGGGCGGCCGCCGCGCTGGGGGCTGCGGCCCGCCGTGGCGGACGTCTGGCAGGCGGCCGCGCTCCACGGTTTCGCCTCGCCCGCCGCCGCGGCACGCTGGGCGCGGGCGCGCGTGGCGGCAGGCAGGGAGTCGCCCTTCGGCGACGGCGGCGCGGCGTGACCGCCGCTTCGACGGCACCTGGTTTTGTCCGCGGGCAGGGCGCCAGGGGGCCGAACAGAAAAATGACCCAAAATGGCCTCCTCCTCCTCCTCCTCCTCCTCCTCCTCCTCCTCCTCCTCCTCCTCCTCCTCCCTCCTCCTCCTCCTCCTCCTCCTCCTCCTCCTCCTCCTCCTCCTCCTTCCTCCTCCTCCCTCCTCCTCCTCCTCCTCCTCCTCCTCCTCCTCCTCCTCCTCCTCCTCTCTCCTCCTCCTCCTCCTCCTCCTCCTCCTCCTCCCTCCTCCTCTCCCTCCTCCTCCTCCTCCTCCTCCCTCCTCCTCCTCCTCCTCCTCCTCCTCCTCCTCCTCCTCCTCCTCCTCCTCCTCCTCCTCCTCCTCCTCCTCCTCCTCCTCCTTCGTTTCCTCATCATTCCTCTTTTCACAAAATTGAACGGCTGCCCCCTGTTCTTGCTCCACTGCTTTCCGCTACACTTCCCTGATCAAGGAAACTCACCAATGATTTTGTTTGGATCGGCTTGTGGGGATTTGCGAAGCGGAAAGAGTTTATTCTGGAAATGGCGCTCCCGGACGCCGTGCTGTAGACACCTGTGCCGTGCAATCTCGCCGCGTGTGCCGCCCGAACGTCTGGATGCGCGAGACTGTGCCGTGTGGCACCGTGCCGTGTGCCCCTGAACCCACCCTTCGTTAGCTCGCAGGTGGTGTCGTGTGGTGATGTGCTGGGGGGAGGGCGTGTCATCGTGATCAGCGCCGATTTGCACGGAACGCCAGGCGCCATTCCATTCCGACGCTGTGCCGCGGACTACCCAGAGGCTCTGCCCACGAGGCCTGCACTCGCCCTCCCTGGTGTTGCAGCAGCACTTCTTGGTGCTCTCCGCGTCCCGGATCCTCCCGTCCCCGGTCATGTCCTTGAGCTCGTGCACCAGGAACTTCGTGGAGTTCACGCCGACTTCCAGCTGCGGGGGCCTGTCCTCGTCGCGGACCTCCTCCCGCACCGCACCGCGCAGCGGGGCGCTCTCCAGCAGCTCGCGCGGGGACGGGCGGAGCCTTGGGGCTGCCTGGACCATCTGCTGGATGAGGATGAAGTCGTCCATGGTTCCCGCTGGACACCTGATCCCAGGACGCGCCCCCCAAACCTGATCCCAGGACGCGCCCCCCTAATCTGACCAGCAGCCTTCTAACTTCTCGGGCTGCCCGCCTGTGAGTTCCGGCCACAGAAAGTTCGGGCGGTGGACAAGCCTCCCTTTGGTAAAACTCCCTTTAGTGAAAACGGCCTAGGACCAAAACCGACGGGCCTGGACCCGCAAAAATGAAGGCCGCGACGCCCTCTCGCGAACCGAAAACGGTCAATTCCTTAATCGACGTGTCAGGGTAGGAGGTCTATCCACCTCCGAAACATCTCTGGGAGACACTCGCTGATGGGTCACATCCTAGCCCAGGGAACCCCACCTTTGCCAAGGCGCGCCTCCCGGTCACGAGAGGGATCAGCCGCTGAGGGCTATCAGGGTTGGAGTCGTACCGAAGGAATCGATGTATCTGCGTCGGCGTAATGCCAGGGCAAAGCATCAACAAATACACTATGCCAGAAGAGTAGATGTCGTAAGACCACCATGGCTCGGCGATCGCAAGTCCATACTGGACTTCGGGTGGCTTGTATGAAGCCGTGTAAGCGTAGCCACCTTGCTGATCCTCAACGGTCCCAGTGAGCGCACCTCCCCAATCAATAATCTTGATGAACAAGTCATCGCCCCGCTGCTGGTAGACGATGTTCTCGAGCTTCAGGTCGTGGTGAACGATTGGCGGGTCTTGCTTTTGCAAGAAGCGCAGCCCCTGAAGGAGCTGCGCTATCACTTTCCGGGCCGTGGCAGGGTCTTCGGGCGGCTTGGCCACCCTCTCGGAGTACCAGTCGACCAACTCCTGGCCGCCGACCTGCAAGACCAAGTAGGCGACCTGACTCCCGCCTTCGTTATCCGTGGGCTGGATATGATCCTCCAGGCAAGCCGCAATGTGCGACGCGCCCGCAGGGTCGTCGGCAGCATGCGCCAAGATGGACTGGGTCAGCCTGCACTCAGTGGAGGCCTCTGCCAATTTCTTCTGCTCGTACTCGCTGCATCTCGACCAATACAGATAGGGATAGGGATCATGATACGGTGCTAAGAAAAACTTGATGGCCACGGGTCGCCCAGAGAGCTTGTCCTTCGCCTTCCACACCTCTCCGAAGCCACCCTGCCCCAGCTTGGTGACGTCGGTGCCGTACCTTGGCGAGGAGAAGACCAGCACCCAATCCGAAGGGTAGGCCTCCCGCCCAGTGCGATATTTGGTCGGCTGGCCCTGTGAAGGGAGCTGTGGCTCCAGATGGTGGAGGCCTCCCGAATGAGTTCCGAGTAGATGATGGGGTCGGAGGGTCGCACCGCATCGCCGATGCATCGCCAATGTATCAGCGACGCATCGACAACGCCGGCGATGCTCTGGCGACGTCGACGTGGAGAAAATCGGGCTTCGCGTCGAGCAAAACCGCCAACGCATCGGCGATGCGGTGCGATCCCTCGACCCCATCTGCCTGGACCCCATCTGTCGGGGGCGCGCAGACATGGATTAGCGATCCATGGATTTGGCGCGCGCTCGCCAAATCCATGGATCGGGGGAGGTGCCCTCCCCAGAATGCAGCCTGAGCCGCCTCGCTCGGCGGCGGAGGCCCACGACTTCCCGTGGAAACGGGACCCGTCGCGAATCCACGCCCCCATGGATCCACGTCTGCGATCGCCTGCATCTGGACCGTCGGGCCCGTCCGAGACCCCGCCCCGCAACGGCAGGACTCATCCGGAGGCTCGCCCCCGCACCCCCCGTGCTTCCGGCGGCAGCTCGGGCCCCCAGAGACCCCGCCTCCCGGCGGCGGCGGGCGGCACCCCCCTCCAGAAGCCCCCGAACCTTCGGTCGAGCCTGCCCCCCCCCACAGGCCGAGCTTCGAGGAAAAATCACAAAGATAGTCGAAAAATGCGCCAAAGATGGCTGAAAGCTACTGAGATACTAGAAAAGAATTATCCTGGCAAAGCAACCTAACAGCGATGTGT